TTCTCTCAGTCCCGCCACCTCAAGAAGGACATGGGGGGGACCCACAAGAGACAGGGCCTTCTTGGTAGCTGCCTCCATATTGTGGAACTCCCTTCCACAGGAGGCTAGGCTGCTTCCCTCTCTGCTATTTTGCTGCTGGCAAGCAAAGACCTTGTTATTTGTGGACAGGTCACCATGCCATAGTGGTTTGTGCCTTGGACTAGGACTCTGGAGACCAGGATTTGAATCCCGGCTCAGCCACTGAAACCCACTGGGAGACCTTGGGCAAGTCACATGCTCTCAGCCTCAGGGGAAGGCAAAGGCAAACCCACTCTGAACAAATCTTGCCAAGAAAACCCCAGGATAAGTTCAGCTTAGGGTTTCCATAAGTTGGGAATGACTTGAAGGCACACAAACAACAGCTACAACATTTGGCTGTTAAATGGTTGTTGTTGGAGGGTCTTTTATTGGGGGGAAGAGTACAGTATTATGTATTATCATCATTGCTTAAAATGATTTTAAATTAGTTTAAGTTCATGCTCTTGAAAGGCTGTCGTTGCATGCCTTCAAGTCTTTTCTGACTTCTGGCAACCCTATCGTGGGGTTTCCTTGGCATTTGTTCAGAGAGGGTTTCCATTTGCCTCCTTTGGAAGCTGAGATAGTGTGACTTGCCCATGGCCACCCGATAGGTTTTCATGGCTGATCAAGAATTCAAACCCTGCTCTCCAGTGTCAGAGCTCAATGCCCAAACCACTGTGCCATGCTGGCTCATGACAGCTTATTAAATTGTTCTTTCATTGCAATATTATGTGTTGTACTGGTATTTTAGCTATATCTTTTTTAAAAACCAGTGCTTTGAGCTGCCCATATTGAAAGAAAGGTTTAATATACATTCATTATATATTAAACCTAGCCCCTACTTTGCAAATCCAAACCATTTTAGCTTTTGCTCTGGGAAGAAAGAGAGGCATATGGATTTCCTCTAGAGAAACTTTGAAATCTGTACAGATGGGTCGGTCTCTTTTCTGACCTCCAGAATGATGCTGTATTACATGCCTGATCTACTTTGCACTGAGTCTCATTATTAATTATTAATGAAGCTGCTAATTAATAGCTAGGAATGCCCGCTTGCTAGAGTGGGAGCTGAAAGCGGAGCTATGCAGGGGAACAGGCAAGTTCAAAGAGAGAGGAAGGGAGAAAGGATGCTTTTGGCTGGCATCCTGCCGGTGTTTTAGATAGGCATAAGGGCCCTTAGGTTGTATTTTGGGGGCCAGTGGTGCAACATCTGGATTCACGGTTCAATAAGCAGAGCTCCACAAGTGTAACCGTGGCGCATGCCATTGTGCATTCTTGCATGGTGTTTGCAAAATGGTGTTTGCAAAAGGTCCCACTTGATTCACCGGGATTGTGGAAGAAGCAAGTGCATCAGTTGCAAAATGCTGGTACAGTGGGTGCTTGGTGTCCACCGGGGTTTGGTTCCAGAAACCCCATGGATGCCAAAATCTGTGGAATGCTCAAGTCCCATTATATACATTGGCATAGTGGACCAGTAACTGGTAAAATCAAGGTTTGTTGTTTGGGTTTTTGGAATTTGTATACATTTTTAAAAAATATTTTCAAGCCATGGATCAGGGGTAGGCAACCTTTCCCCTTTAAGGGCCGAGGGACTTCAGCTCCCAGAAGCCTCAGCCATGTTGACCAATAGTCCTGGGATTCTGGGAGCTGAAGTCCCTCGGCCCTTAAAGGGGAAAAGTTGCCTACCCCTGCCATGGATGATTGAATTCGTGGATAAAGAATCCATGAATATGGAGGGCCGACTGTATTTGGCAGAAGGGTGATGTAGTCCAACCACCACTTAACTACATACATGTTGATTTACACCAGTGATTCCCAAACTTTGGTCCTCCAGATGTTTTGGACTTGAGTTCCCAGAATTCCTGACAGT